TTAAAAATCTTCATGCTAGATATTTTACGAAATAGTTAAAACATATTTATATAGATTTAACTTTTCGTAGAATGTAACAGTACGCTTTAACGGTAAAACTGCAATCGCAAAAGTTATGATTACATAGGAATAAATATTATTAATTACAGATATCAATAAAAAGAAAATTACGTTTAATATTTGTGAATGTCCTACAAAGAATAAGAAAAAAAAAATAATTACATTAGAGAACAAGCATCGTTATTAGGCACAGTTTCTCTCTGCCTCTTTGTTTCTCTACTGCTGTATTTGCTTTAAATGTTGCATAGTACAAATATTTTCTTATGATGGATAGCTTTATATATGAAGAAAATCTGAAGATATATAAAAGGGTAATAGATACATCTCTACAAGTTTCTGAAAAATGGATTGTCTTGTAGTTGCTATTCCATCTTTTTGCTTCAAGTTAGCTTTCGTAAGATATCAAATGTTATGACTGTCGAAACAATATTTATTCCATAATACAATCGTATTGCCATTCAATTATTCTTCATTACTTACTCTCTAGCTTTCTTTAATTAACTATCTGAGTTATTCATACAGATTGTCATATTTTTGCCTAAATACAACAAAAAAAAAAAAAAAAAAAATATATATATATACGTATATCGGTATTTCGACAACTCAAAATGTTGTTTAATTTGGATAATTATTAGAATGTGCCAATCATTCAACGTGCGTAAGTTTTTTTTTTCATGTCTTTTTCCATATTAAATAAAGATAAATAATTATGAAAAGAGTAGTAATACTTAGTAATTGTTGAATGAGTATAAGCATCTTTTTAATATTGTTATCTTAATGTTATTATATTTCTACCGAGGACACATGAATATTTAAATTAAGGTTGAAGAAATACAATTGCATTATGATGCTTCTCTCATATATACTTCATAGTTCTATTTATAATTTATAATAATCGATTATTTTTAATGGACGAGGTGAAAATATTACAACTACTTTTTCCCATAATACTTATGCGATAAAATAATCGATTGCACCATTTGAGAAATACAAAAAGTTTCCATATTTATATATGTATCTACAAATTTATAATCTATATTATAAAATAATAAATGAAACTAAACGAACAAATTAAACGATTAAGTTTATTTAAACTTTATTTTTCATGTAAAATTTCGAATAAATAACTTATAAAAGTACAATCAATATTATTAGAGTGATACCATGAACTTTTAATTGGATTCATAATCACAATAGATCGTCAATTTTAACAATAATTGAATATTCATTAATTTTTCTAACGATTTTAAATTTTGTAAACATAAATCTTTGTTCCATAATAGGATTAGTTTTTTCCTACACTGTAATTAACTATTTCCTTCTCTATTTCCAATTTGCAATTTCATGTTTATATTATTATTAGTAAGGCATAAGTATGCTCGCACTCGGATAACGTATGCTTAGTTCACGTAATAATACGATATAATGAATGGGCTTCGAAAGAAAAAGAAGTTTAAAAAGAAACATGACTCTTGTATTCTATCTAGAGGCTACAATTTATTGCTTATATAAGACGTTCATTAGCTTTATTTTTATTCAATGTTGTATGAGGAGTAAATAAAACACTGGATACATTTTAATAATGAATTTCAATAAATAAATAATCTATATGGAATTTTATTTATTCTAATTTACAGTATCAATTGAATGTATTAAGTAATGTATTATTAATCTAACGGATGATTGTTGAGTTTGTATTCAATTTCAAACAGATTAAAGTCTTCGAAAGCCATAGTTTTTAGAGGTTAATATTCCATTTATTAAACCTTTACATTTATTATGTTTAATAACACGGATTTGACCATTGTTTATACTTATTTTTTATATTTACGATACTTGATCGTCAAGATATAAATAATTTCGTTGTACGCCAATTAGTAACAAATCTTATTTTCTTATTCATAAATTTTTAATTAATCGTAGCAAAGTATTTCTCAAAACGAATTGTTTAATATCTTTAAATTTTTTTTATCATGCACGAGGATATTTGTTAGAATCCTGCTAGGAGAATGCTTTTCATGTTCTTTCAAAGGTTTAGAACGCTTCAAAGCTTCTTAAGCTCTCATGGATTCGTATTTTCATCGAAAAGCTAGTTATAGCCACTGACTGACTCGTTTTGTCATTCACATTCTTTCTTTTTCCTATAACATATAAGACCTTTCATATGCTTTTAATCTCACTATTATTACACAATTTTAAAGAGTTAGTCTTTATTTTTAGTTTTTGTACTTTAACGTATGTAATTATATATCCCAAATAAAGTGTATTATCTTTAAACATAATAAATAGACTTTCATGAATATTATTCAGACGTAATAAAAATGTGAAAAAAAATATTCATATTTTTCTATGTAAATGTACTTTATTGTAGATTTATAATATTGACAGTTGAGAAATTATATTGACATATTTCCATTAAAATAATTAAAAACGTTAGAATAGATATGGTTTGATTTATGGTTTTTATATTAGATTATCTGTATTCTATATTATTTTGTATATGCGTACATTATAAATACATAAAATATTAATTTTTTTTTTATATGACATATTATATGATATATTATGTGATATAATTGAATAATATATTATATTAATTGGATAAATGATTTTTATTTTCTACTTAAGTAATCTTGGAGAGATTTACAATAGATATTAATCATTATTAAAAGTTTACATTATTTAGGATTTAGTATATAATATCTGTTTTGTCTATTTATTATAAATAAATTATTAATGTTAATCAATATGTAATTTGTTATTATTAATAAGATATGTGAATTAAATCTGTTTGAGCAGGACGTGAGGCGTTTCCGAAAAACATACGCTGTATGATGTTCCGATAGAGTGATTACTTTGACTGTCTCGTAATGGATAAAAAGTTCATTTATCAATGATTATAATGGCAGTTTGGAGATGAGTGGTAGTGATGATAGATTGTGGGTAACAAATTCCGGAGTGGTGAAATATAACGATTAGCTGTACAGGATAATATCCGAGAACACTGTTCCCAATTTCGTTATTACTATAGCCTGGATATATTTATCGTTGGGTAGAACGTAAAGTTGGAGGATTGCCTCGTTCAATATTATTTTCAAATAAATATACTGAAATTTTTATCGATGTATAGTTTCAAGTATTTGCAAATCTCGCAGTAACAATTCCTTTAACATATAGTTCGAACAAATAATTCACTCACTTGTAAAATAAATCGAATGAGAATAGAAAAACATATTATTAAATAATAGATTAAAAACGATAATTATTTCTTCAAGAATTTTTGTATTAAAAATACTAATTGTTATTTCAAAATTTTATATCTATTATATTTCTTATTCGAATCTGAATTTCCTATAATAATTTTAAATCTTTTTTTAACCACAAGTTGAAAAATTTTCTGCTAATTAATTGTGAGAAATTATATTTTTCAATTGCATATATAATTTACAAATATGATGAACATAAAAACACTTTTTTTCTTTTAATACTCAACGGTGTGTTTGTTAATTATGTATGTAATTTATTAATTATGATTTTAATAAATATTTGATTATGTTATTAATCATATTAATATTCATTAATACAAATTTTTGGAAAAAAAAAACCTATTTTCTGCTGATAAGTATAATAGATAAAGGAATATTTTTTTTATATAAAATAAAGTAAATATAAATATCATTTGTAGAAAACCTTTCGTTTTTGAAAATTATATTTTATGCTATTTGAATATATTTTTTCATTAATTATGAATTCATAACTGATACATATTGAAGATTTTGAAAGATACTCGAAGCATCAATATCCTTAAATTAAAAAGTGTCGTAATTCTATATCGAATATGAATGAAAAAACATCTTCAAAGAGATGTGCTATAGAAGATGTAATGAAAAGCAGTTAGTAAAGAAAGTAATCAAAACACAAATTAAAAATATGAGCCCTAGCATAATTATAAGGATATATAGATATTGTTTAACTTTTATATTTCCTTATAAGTATGCAATATGAAATATTTCCTTACAGTAAAATATGAGTATAATTAATATGAGGTAAGAGTTAAGTTGTATAATCATATAATTCAACTAATAATCTTGACAAAATTGCTTTAAAAATAAAAAATTGCAAATTAATAAATAAAATCAAGGTTATGATCAAGGATAAAAGACGAAAAAGTAAATAGACGTGAAAAAAAAAATTAGATAACTTAAAAACATATTTTAATGATCTTGCATTAGTAAAAAGAAATATAGAATGATGGACTGATTAAAAAATATATATATATATATATTAAAAGTAGGATTATTAGAGGCTGATAAAAAGATAAAGGAGTATAAGAAAATTTGATAATAGGGGAACAGATTTGAAACAAGGAGAAATCGAAATACGTGGAAGGAAAGAATTGTTAGTAACTCCAAGAAAAAAGGAAGAAAAGTGACCGAACCGTAAAATAATGACGTGTACAACTGCTGTTTCATGTCTTAAACAGACTTATTGTGAAATTTGTAAGCCTTATGTCACTTCTTAGTGTAGAGAACATATGGTGCGTCCATTTTCTGGTATTAGATCTTTACGACTCGCTCTCAATCTTTTTATTCGAATGATTTTTTCTTCGTCCCGATTTCATTGAACATTATTTGGCGATTCATAAAATATTGATACGATAACATTTTAAATGAATTCAGATAATTATATAGATATTGCTCTCTCTCTCTCTCTCTCTCTCTCTCTCTCTCATTAAATGATAAATGCATTTGTGAAACTCTTATTGAAATTATTATTTTATTTTATTGATAATTTTGATATTTATTTTATGCATTTATTATATCCAATTTTATTCGATGCTCGTATCTCTTCTTATATTAATACATAAATTCTTATGTAACCAATGTAGACATGAATAAAGAGTATCTTTAGCTTTTATTTATTATTTTTACTATGAAGCTTTAGTATGAATGGAGCTTATTTGGATAATAAAAACGATCGATCATTTCTCCCGTCCTCTTTTCATCTTGTTTTACTTTCATTTCTTTTAAATGCTACATACATAAAAATACAGATATGTTATTAATAAATTATTCTTATTCTTCTTCTTCTTCTTCTTCTTCTTCTTCTTCTTATTATTATTATTATTATTATTATTATTATTATTATATAGAAATAGGGGCAAATAACTCAGTATGACATTAGTAAGTAATAAAATTCCACATTGAATATGATTTATAATATAAATTTAATCTTCAACAATTTCCGATATTTTTCTGAAAATTCATTTATAGTTTTCATAATTGTCTCTTTCAATTCTCGTATATCAATATTAAATTAAATGTTTTATTAAAAAATAATTTTTTAATATTACAATTAAATTGTTTTAAGAAATTATTACGAAGACGTCATTTATATTACATACGAAATTTTGATGTCGAACAATTAATAGACAATAATTCAATATAATTGCAATAAAGTCCTTTATAATAATACGTTTGCGGATATTCTTCTATTTAGTAGTAAATTCTGTATTTGTTAGTATTTAAAAATAAGGATTTGACGAAATGGAAAAAGAGTTTTATATTAAAATATTCAAATCCTCTTTTTAACATTATTACAAAAGCCTGACTGGAAAACGGATCACCGATATTTCTATGAAAGTACATAAAAATTGAATGCAGAAAGTGAATTTCTCATGACTAACCTGTCGACCGGTTTCATAAATCTCCCAATCGATGGTTTTCACTTTTCCTAAACCGATGCTTCTAATTTGACTAACAATATCTGTTTCACATTCGCACGTCATTGTCTGTTTATCGGTGAAATCTTTCATTAGCGATCCAGTTGCAATCTGTTTATACGATCAACATTACGACGATTATTATAAGTATAATAGATATTTCGATTAATTGATCATATATATTTATATATGTATATATAATTATAATTATAATGTTATATTAAATATCAATTGAAATATTATATGTATGTATATTCAAGGTAAACAGAATAGAGTAGCGTTCTATTAAAGATTTTCATATTTTGGTAAAATTTGTTGGAATAGTATGATTATTGTCTACATTTAATTTTATCGGCAATTATATCGTACAATTACTTTGTCATATACAGATAATTCAGATACGTTTTAAGAAAAATTGAAATGAAACTTTTACATCTATTTGTCCAATGGTATAAACTATAACGGATAATAATATTTAATACAGAGTATATATACAACAGAATAGCTTTATAATAATAATAAAGGGCTATGATGAATCTATTATATAAATGTGAATATGTGTACAAACGATATATGTATATCGTAGGAATGTATAGGTGAATGCAAAAAACTTTACCTCTCGCCAATAGTGCACTAGTGCACTTTGCACGTTCTTAAGTGACTCTTCATCTGCTGAGACAATGTTCTTAAAGAGCCGAGCTATCAGAAATCGAACTGGTCGCTCTCTTGTGGATTTCAATGGTTCGTCCCATATAGATTCCGAGCCAAGGCGATATGTTGCTGATGGTGTCGCTTCTGGAATCTAGATGCATTATTCAGATCGCATTATAAATTTCCATAACCCGACGATGGGGAACTCTTTTCGTCTCATGTGCAATGCTACCATGCAGGTGTCGTAATAAAATACAATGATGAAAGGTAATTAATTGATTCACTATTTCTCTCTCTTTTTTCTTTTTTTGTTTTTCTTTAATAAATTACCTTGATGGGTTGGTTTTCACGAGCTGCAGTTACGCGAAAACTTTACTAAAATTTATAATAATGAACGCAAGCCTCTACTTAGCTATTTCGAAAGATAATTTAAGGGTTTACGTGTTAAATGCAAAGTTTCATCTATCTGTATATTAGTGTCAATTAAAATTTTACAGAAGCTGCAACGAATTTTAGCGCGAACAAGACGACAAAAAATGTTCGATGAATAATGCTCGATGGATCAGAGTATTATTACACTCGAATAATATTTCGGGCGTCATAACATTTATATATTTATTTCTTTCATTATATTGTGTAATTGATATTTTTACTTCGTAATCCAACTGGCAATCTTTAGAGCCACCAAGAATAGTTTTTGGCATTTGAAGGGCGAGGGAATAGTTATCGGAGCATATGAGACTTGATCGCTCGTCCTCGGCCATTATCATCCAATATCTCTGACAATCGGTCGATCGATGATACTCGTAAGCCTGACCATTTCGATTCAAGGCAAAGATCCTGTAACGCTGCTTCATCCTGTTATTCTGCTTGCACTCGCAGACCACTGGATTGGAGATTTCTATTCTCGAAAAACCCGCTTCGTCTCGTTTTGCCATCAGACAATTTGTGCTGTCCTCGAATGTTAGAAGCGCGTTTGGTTCTCCGGGAGCACACGGCCGATCGATATGGTGGAAAGTCGCGGAGGAAGAGGATCTATGGCATTCGGGACATGATTGCCGAGTTAATACGACACCAGCGTCGCAAAACTGTAACGAATGAAGAATTTTTCGTTCTCTTGAATAAACAAGTTCCTGTCAATGGAGTTATGACTTATGCTCTTTGAAAATGTGCAATATATAAGTGACAAAGTATAATCAGTCTTAGTTTACAAGTTTTGAATAATTGATCGTTCGTAGCTTGCGTTCGGGTTACGAATAATATTTCATTATAAGATTGTTGGGGATTTTTTATTTTAAAACATAGTCGAAGAATGTAATGAAAATAGTGCAAAATTAATAAATCCCGTGGATTTTAACGTTATTTTAAACATGTGCATTATTAAAATTTATATTAAATTTTTACAGAGATTATGTTTGTTACTTGGCTTCTTTTTTTTTTTTTTTTTTTTTTTTTTTTTTTGTTAACTGGAATTTCACTGCATTATCATTGAAATATGCAATTTGGATTGTCGCCAAGTTTCTCGACATTTACGCGAGCGCACGCGTATTAAAATAAAAAATTACGTTTTTTTTACCATTTTGAAACGTGATTTTATGTTTTAATGTCGATTTTTTTTACGAAGAATAAGTTTAGCATAAATTACATATAACAAAGCCGACTAAATTGTCAAAGGCTTTGTGTATGAGAAATATGAGAAATTCAATTGATAATTGGAAAAGAAGAGAGGAAAGTATTATATAACTTCCAGCTCATAATCATTAATAGAATAGCAATAAGACTAAATGTATAACTCTTAACATTTATATTTAATTGTAATTAATTCTTTTTTAGATAATTTAATGGTAGAGTAAAATTTTTCGATCCTTCTTTACATTAATTGGCGATATTTTTCATTTAATTTGGGTGAAATTATTTGAGACGAAGAAATCTTTAAGAGAAAATTATGGGATATTTCGTTCTCTGGGATCATCGAACTCTTTGACAGAGAAGCTAAATTTATTTTTCATTTTAGCTTTCGCTAATAACTACCCAATACGGTAATTACAATAAAGTTATTAAAATAATCTCCCTATTAAAAATCATCATTACTTTCGTCCATTACTACGAAATTGCCCATACAAATACATAAAAATCCCTGTATAATACATAATAGTTGTGATGTATGTGACACGCGTATGGGAAATTCGTCCTCCATCATACGTTTAATCCTTTAGCTCGAAATCGAAAAGATCGATTTTCTGATATAACTAAGGCAACCGTCCTTCGTTCACTCACCTCCACTCGAAGTTTATTATTGGTCGAAAGTTCGCCTAATCCCTGCGGCGTTATTCGAAGACGTGGACCATATTTGCCCATCGCCAGGCCGCAGACACCGACACTTGGGGTTTCGCGGGATACCGTCGCATAATTCGGATGCTCAGCGCGACTATAAGTTACAACTGAGACGAAACCTTCCGGCTCTTTCTGGCCGAAGTAACGTATGAGTTCCTCCCCTGACCAGTCGCAGTGCACGAGTTCACTCTCAACCACGCAACCGCATAACGTGCGAGTACCATCTAGAATTCAGAGAGGGCCATTTATTATAGAGGAATGTGTAGGATCGTCGAAAAATTGCGTTATAAAATTTCGGACTGAGCTTGCTTAAGTTTTTGAGGTTAATAATTCTAATGTCGCCAACGTTTATTGGCAAATTTTGCTTCCTATTATTATTTTTGGAGTTTGAAGAATATTGTAATCCTAGAGTTGATATTAAGTCAAGAGCTTGAGAGATTAATAGGAATATTAACGTTTAAGCTCAAGCTGATTATTGAAAATTAAATTTCATCTTGAAATACTGCAAATGAAAGAACTTGCATTGGCAAATTTATTGATGAAAATGTCATACTAAATAACAGCCAGCAATTTCAAAAGAGTAATTAGGCTATTTATTAAAAAAAAAAAAAAAAAAAAATAAATTAATAAATAAAATAAATAAATAAATAAACATGATGCTTAATAAATAAGAATTCGAAGTTTTCACTCATAATTATTGTATGCTAATGTATAAACTTCTGATGATATAAAGAGACCAACTTTTAATATACTTCGATGTTATGAAACTTTCAACTCGACTCATAATGTAGAATTATTTGTAGCGAAATGTATTTTTAAACATATAAATTTCCCTTTGTGTAAGAGAGTATCATGCAAATAAATATAATTATTCTAAATTTTTTTTTTTTTTTAAATAACATATTTTAAATTTTTTATGTAATTTAAATTTTTAATTATGTAATTTAATTTTTATATAATTTAAACATATTTTTAAATTAATTAATTTGGCGCCTAATATTAAACTATATGTATATTTTAATATATATGTAATATATGTAAAGCATATGTACATGCATTTAAGTTTATGTACATACATGTATTTAATATATGTAAAGCAGAAATTAATAAAATATCCTCATAAAAATTTGGAATATGTGGAGAGGCGAAAAATGGCATTACAATTCGGATAAAATTACGGAAATTTATATAAACATTATTTGAAGGGAATATTGTTTGCTTAAAAATGAGGTATCTGAAATTTTATCGATTTCTTCGTTAAATGAGTTTGGAAGAATATAGAAAAAAAGAAAGAAAAGAAAAAAACAAAAGAAAACAGAAAATGTAGAGATATGCAGTTAGTATTTCACATTCGAATAAATAGCATCGAGAATCAGTTCATTCGTTCATCGAATCATCGAACCTGGAAAGGATACGAGCATTTCACCGTTACTCCTGATGAGCATATCCGTGCCATCGGCGCGTCGCACCAACTTCTCCTTGACACTGTAAGCTTCCGCAATGTTTGTGCGCAATCGATTGAGCTCGTGAACGACGCGGCCATCGTAAACCTCGTAGTGTCGGCCATCCGGTTCCAACACTTTGTAGCGCAGCGGCGATGGCTTTGAGTAAGCGCACTCACACGACGGCTAATTATGCGAATTATCAGGAATTAGGTCTGAGAGTCTTGGATTTTGGAGTTATGTATGGAGACGCAGCGATGGTAGGGGCTTTCGTGCCTGTGCTCGATAATATTTCATACCGACCCGACCCGACCCTTGTTGACTCGTAGTTTATTCGCAATCTCATTGCAATTTTCTTTTTAAATTATTTTATTATCGGAGGATGTTTGAAAATGTATGAGGTGAACGAAGCTACTGCTCGACTCTCTGTAGCGATATTACGTATAGAAAATAGCTATTGCTATACAGGGACAGCGATATACGTTGAGTGTGAAATATTATCGAAATGCACATAAGTGAGTTACCTCGGGACGAAAACTTATTGCTTATATTATAGCTTAGGTATCGCAAAAAAAGCTCGTATAAAAAGCTAAATAAAAGAATTTTTTATTATTAAATATTTATAATAAGATTTAGAAATTGATTATCGAATCGAGAAATTAACAGTTTCGGCCAATATTTGATTTACCGACTGAAGAATATCATCGAAGCTTCTAAATATCTCAATGTATCAAGTTTCAATTATATTCTAGTAATATCTATCGACATTATAATAGAAGGAATTTTTTTTTTTTTTTTTTCAGCCGAATTTCATCACATCTGTTTAAGTATACATTAATATTCATATAACAGTACAAAATATTTGTTTATACTTTAATGAATATTGATAGCATGTAATCATCGCATAATTAACGTAATGAATAGAATTAAAATTGTATGAATATTTATATATTATTCGTATTTCATGTTTTTGACATTGAAATCGATAAAATCAGATTGCGAGTAATAACGGCTTTCACAATATTATTATTAATAAAATTTAATATTTTAGGTAAAGGCTGTTGGTTTTTCAAAAATTCCTCACGACATCTACTTAATGTTTAACATAATTTTCTAATTAATATTGTTTAATACCTGACAAGATAAGGATATTTCATGTTGAAGTACAGTCGCCTCTAGCAAGTTATTACGTGTTCCATCAGTCGACGTTGAAATGGATTTTTCGCCACCTTAAATAAGACTTAATTTTGCTTCGTTAACGCAAAGAATCGAATTTTTTTAATTAACATACCATTACCAAAATTCATAATGGTAATTATCGTCCCATTGGGTCGTAAAGCAATAACCGAACCATCGTTAAAAAACTTTACAACATCCCCGTTATGCAAGTACTTCCGATGAGTTTCGTCTTTAATAGTCTTATCAAGTTCAAGTCCTTTTATCGAGTAATACTGAAGGATATAAAACGGAAAATCTGCGTCTTGATATTCTACTGGTCTGATTATTAATCCAGACGGCCAAGATATTTGAATTTCATAAAGTAATTCATTTGTCCTCTTGTTATCTGTAAGGAACATCGTCGATTATAGATATTCGAGAATGGACATAAAAGTAGTTTATTCCGTAATGAAAAATATAATGGAGTCTTGATATTTTCAGATCTTTCAGCTTTCTCGATAATTATAATCATAATATATAAAATTATTATTATAATTCAAAATTTAAATACAATTGTAATGAAAAGAATTCGAAATACATACATACATTTATTTATGTTGTAACAGTGCAATTATTCGTTTATAATTCAGACTTATATTTGAGAGTGATTGTTATATATATATATATATATATATATATATATATATATATATATATATATAATTACATAGTCCTTTCAAATGTAATGTTTAAATTCTTGATTAAATTAATTTTATGAACTTTCAGATGACATACGCTTATTTATATTTAATATTAATATCAATAAGTTAATTGAATGAGAAAGATTATACCCGAAATATGTTTCTGGAGTCGAGAAAAGGCAACTATTAAGCCGTTTGCCATTGTTAAGTGAAAGAGGCACGTGAATTCATCGTCCACCTGACTCTCCTGATATCTAAGGCCTTCATTTTCTTCCTCAGGTATCGTGATTCGCACGCTCGTCATTCTTTGCTTTTTATTACTTCCAAGGAGCCAAATCTCACGTGTTAAACGCACGCGCATCCCGTCGCTCGCCTCGAAGGTCCAGTTAAGATTGGAAACTTGAACTCGACGGGACACGCCAAGATCGTAGCCAATAAAATCGAAGGAAGACGCAAGAAGCTCGTTCGTTTCACCAGTGGCAGATGAAAGAATTGCGGCGGAGGCCAATGGTTGCCGGGGATCAGCGGATTGTTTTTTCTTAGATTCTTTTTCCTTCGCGATAGCTGCCGAGGATTTCGCAGAATTCGGACATCTTCGATGTCTTTTCGCCCGTGCCGATTTACTTTGAGTTATTGATGCTAAGTTTAAAAAGTATAGTTATTAAAATTGGAATTAGCGAGGAGTCATTTTTTTTTTTTGCACAGCCTATCAAATACTTTAAATTATTAGTATGTAAATTATAAAAATTATAAAAATCTTATACGTTTATATACGTTTAAATGTATATTTAATCTCAAAAAGATAGTATAAAGGTTTTAAGAATTTTAAGAATAAATAAAAAATAGCTTGTTAAGGAAATTACCAACAAAAAAAAAATTTACATACATGTGTTTGTTTCTACCTACATGTTTATTCGTTACATATATTTTATTAATAAATGAGTACCACTTTCTTTCATTACAAGCTCTCGAAAGTATTTATTTAGCTGAAATATTTAAATATATATATACATATATATATATTGTTACTTTGTTAAATCAATATCTAGTTTATCGACAGATTCCTTTCTCCGAGAACAATGTATTCAATATATTTTATAACCATTTGATCTAGCGTAGCTATCGCCTTATTTTCAAAACGTCAAGAAGTCATAAAGAAAAATATTTTATTTATTGAAATGTGTATAAAACTTTACGTACCACTTTTTCTTTTAATGTCCTTTTCTAATTCTTTTTGCGAATTTGTAACAATATCATTTTTCTCGTTTTCCCTTTCATTCAATAACTTTTTTTTCAACAAATCGCAGCCTTTCAATGATGTCGATAATATGAAATCTTCATCCCTGAAAATTGGCTCTGCTACTGCTCGATCGCTCGTACTTATCATTGTATTTCGTTGGCGATCGAATATATCATTTGTATTTTTTGATTTTCGTTGATGCTCGAACCATTGTGATTCTTCATTGGCGATGTAGTTATAAAAATCTTGCAGGCAAACGGCTGTACGTATGGCGCACGTCACACGTTGTTCCAGTATTTCGTAAGGCTGCTTTATCTATGCAGACAAAGGACGATTGATTCACAGAATGTTAAACGCGAATGTTATTCAACTGAAATTTACTAATCATCTTATTGTGATTTTTAAGGTCTATCGTGTATTAACCGTAGCTCGTTGCTGAACTTTTGTTTTTAATAATTATTGCCTATCAAATAAATTATATGAAATACTTTACAGAAATATATTTTTCTTTTAACAGTCTTTTAATTCTATGATTATACAAATCGTAAGTTTATTATATTCTACTGCGCATTATATCGAACTGTTAACGGTGAACTTATACTCTCAACTATTAACGAAATAAAAATACTAGATATAAAATTTCACGAAATATTTTGAATGCATTCCAGTGGGATTGTAGTGAACGTATTGAACGAGCTATTTTTAGGCTAGAAAACATAAAAATACCAATGACATATCGAAAAAGCAGTTTTGAAAATCACCGATAGATCCAATGGCTTATATATGCACTCACATTATCGCAAAAGAGTAGTAATACCGAATCAGTCGGTAGGAAGTACTTTGCTATGAATTCTCCACACTCGTACTCCTGAAAGCAATTTCCAACTATTTGTTGAAATGCATTGGGAGAAAGTAGCTCGGCTTCCCCGAACTCTTCGAGTAACATCGAACATTGCTTTCCAACCGGTGCTAATCCTAGGCTGTTATGTACGTTTATCAAGCTTAAGAAGTCCGAGCAATTTTCAAAGGATCGCAGAAGCCGTTTGCCGCTTAAATCGTTCGCAGAGCTTGAATTTGTGCTACAGGCTGGTACGTTTAATGAGAAAAGTCTTGTTGGATGGACATTTGACGAATTTGCAAATGTATGCGAGGACTTGATGTCCGATTGTTCTTTCGCGAAAGAGTCATCTTTCTTGAATGCCGAATAAAACTGGTCTAATTTAGAAGGCGAGAAACATATTTCACGAATGTAAATTGATTGGATATGGATATGGATAAATTTTGTAGATGTTAAGATCGATTAATCGATTCATGAAAGTATATCTATTATTATTTTTACTTGCGTTCTATTAAATTGTTAAAACAATTAGGGCCATTCAAGAGGATAAAGATTTTTTTTTTATTAAATGAGAAATAATTTTGTTAATGAAAACGGGATGTTAATAATAATGGGATATTGGAAGTTTTAAAAATTATATTTTACCCTAAACAACACAACTATTATAGATGATTAATATGCAACTTATAATTTCATAATTATATATAAATTATAAAATAAATAATAAAATATTATTTTACTCCTAATAATAATAATAATAATAATAATATATATATATATATATATATATATATATTATTTCACATCGAAGTAATAATTTTGAATTCAATTATTTTACTCTTTAAAGAATAAGAGAGAATGTAATTGTGAAAAAGGATATTTGAGAAAAATACAGATATGATAAACATTCGATTAAATTATAACTGACTTACGTAACAAACAGGACTAATTTAGTAGCTAAATTTAACCAGATAAAGTAAAATTTTAATGTAATTTTTTTATGTTACAGGATTATTGTAAAAAGACTTTAAGTATAACAAGATTTCTACTTTTTTAATTTAAACTTTTAGAAGTGAGTCTAAATTGAAGTATTTGCAAAAAGGATTTATTAATATAAACTAATGAAATGAAAAATACATTTACCTTTTAATCACTTTTTTATATTATACTTGTTTGTTAAATATTATTTTTTAACAAAGACTCCTATTTATATTGATATTAATTTAACTTTATTGAAATTTAAAATTTATCTGCTTATAAAAGTATAATTTGTACAAAATATTTAAATACAATTTTATTCAATGTAGGTTCAAATTTACGTAATTTTTTTATAAATACAACAATTCATAAAAATTGGTATAATCGAATAATTAATATAAGACAGCATAATTAATCATAAATTAATAGTTAATACCTATCCACGAGTCAATTATGTCGAATCGATGTAGCATTTATATTATTTATAATAATTATTCTTTCTTATTCTTTTTTTTCTACTCTATTTTAAGTTTAATAGAATTTTTATTTTGCCGTACTTTCATTAACACGAGTATTTTTCTCCTTATGGGGATCAAATTGCAAATTCGAACTGGATCCATAACAGTTTTTTCCATTTGGAAAATTTTGATTTATTGATTTTATTGAATTAGTATCCGTACACTTATACTTAGTTAACTGACACTCTATCAATTGCTTTAATCCAAGTATATTTAGAAGATGTTTCGTTCTTTTTTTGTTGAGACCTTTCCTTGCACAGATTTTATAAATGCTGTTTAAATGTAACTTGCAGTTTTTTATCTAAGTAGAGATATATATAAATCACATATTTTTTTACTGATAAACACATGGCATTAATTGTGGTTAATATTGAATTGAAAATTTCGTGAGCAATGCAATTTCTTGAAACCGGATAAATAAAATTTTTATTTTTAATTGAATAAAGATCATATTTGAATTGACATTTGTATAAGATTAATTAGATTATTAACGCATGTAGACAAGAATTTTATTTCACGTTTATCGAATTCATTTCCACTATTAGAATAAAATGCAGTTAAAATTGATATTACAAATTTTCTCGATAGCAATTCATATTCGTACGTAATAATATTATATCCGGTTATACCGGTATGACTGGCGTAATATCTTTATGCTTATATTTTGAAACTTGCAAATACTGAATAGTTGAAATACTGACCCAATTAGAAAATTCTCAGCATCACGAGAAAACTTGTGCCGCAATTGCGCAAATGCAATATTCGAACAATGTTAATTACTTCGTATTTTTAAATCGGCCTGAAAAACAGTTATACCCCATCACCTCATTTTCGTTATTTAGACGCCAAGCAACATTAATCCTCGGATCTACGATCGGCTTCACTTCAAACCTCTTGAGCTCGGTGAATTTTGATTTGTATTGCGCCTTAATTCTTCCATCTTGCGAGTCTTCCGTCACTTCGTCGTTAGCGCGGCACGCATTTAAACCCAGCACATCCCCATGAAGGATTAATTCGAGCTTTCGAAGAGGCTGATGCGATGGATCGTTCGTTTGCGACGTAAGTTCGTATTTTAGATTCAATAGGCGAAGTTTCTCTGTTAGACGCGCGAAAGCTTCGGAGTTCACTTTACTTAACGAAGTCGCTACGCTCGAGAGTGAGGCGTCGTCAACTGCAGCTGCACGAGCTTCTGGCAATACCGGGGATTCTTGTTGCTTGGATGTCAAGATGGAGGTCATACGTGGCCGATCATCCTCATCATTTTCTACATCTATTTGTTTTAGGAAATAATGATTAAGTCACGTGGTTTGCTCCAAATAAATTCTTATGCAACACGACATTTATGGCCATTTTATGCGAGATGGAATTATGCCGACGGATGCAGTGGATGTATGAGTGCTGACAATATATGAAATTTCAAGCACTGTAAATGTAAGCATATTCTAGCATATTTATGAAAATATCGGCAATCAATCAATATAAGTATTCGATTTATTTCATGGACGAATATAATTACCCACTTCCGCCTTCTAAGCATTCGTCAAATTTCTTTATATTATTGAAAAAATATTAATTATAATTTTTAAACTCTTCAATGTTATAGGAATAATACTCTTTTTCCGTTAGACATGCATTATATTAATGACACTTTCATCAAATTTGAATTATACGTATTAACGATATAATATAATTTAAAAAGACGATAAAAGCGAAAATGTGTAGAAATATATAATTGTACGATTAAATTAAAGATAATTTTTATGTTTTAGCACTTGATTTTTGAAAAATTATAATTGTCATTAATATCCAATTTGTATATTGAATGTGAATTAAAAATTAGGTAATTCCAAATTTATATTATGTTTGGATTTTTTTAATTGGATTTCGTATGATATTCAATATGCAAAATGCATTTATAAATACTATATTTGATTTTCATCTATGAGAAAATAATTCCATACAAATTGCTGAAATCCGATTTTTCACATTATTTCTATTATTTGAAAGATAATGCGACATATGAAATAAAAATAAAATTTGCTTATACATTAATAAATTAATTAATCATAAATTATGATAATTATTATTGTAAATATTAGTATAAAATACTGTGTTATTAAAATTTCAGAAATGAGTAATTAATTTTTATGGAATTGGATAAACTTAATTGCCACTTATGTACTTATAATGTAATTTAAATTATATTTTACATGAGAGTTTGATAAATACGTATTAAAATGTAATTACAAAATACATAATTAAATACTTTCATTCTATAGTTATATTATTTGATAATATATTTCGTTGTGAATTATTTCAACTTGCTCTTTCTCCGTATAAAAGATTGTGCATTCAGTATAATCATTCAATGTAAATTTTAGTAATTTTTTAAAAAAATGTGATCTACTTAATATTTAAAGTTCTAAATATTTTTTCTGTGTAAGCGATCCTGTATAGAATTTAATGTATATCTACTTTTTTTTCGGAGAGTAAAATTATTATTATTATACATACTTAAATTTTCCGTTGCATCAGTTTCATTGTCTTTTTTGATATTTTCCTCGATCTGATATAACAGTGCTTCCATTATATCGGGTATTAAAATATATTCTTCGGGCTTAAATTTCATGAAATTTTCGTAGCTGGACAATCTAAATGTCTCGTGCTTTGGTTCATATACTTCGTATATCTTCATACTATGCAAATAGGTGATGTGATTCTGCATAGTATTGTGAAAATCATAGAGGACAAAGGAAATGTTGTCATAAATTTTATCGATACCAATTTTCGGAGAAGGAGGACAGTAGGGACAAATAGCTAGATCCAAACAATTACTTTCATCAAATTTATTCCAAAAATCCAATTGATCAATAGTGTCGGTTTTTAAAACTGTGCTATTCAATTAATTGATAAATATTATAATTATTATATTTCAAAAACGCAATTAATTTTGTGTAATATTAAATATTATATTTAAAAATGCATTTTATATTATTACTTATAATTTGCGTATTTGACTAAATAGTCAATTTTGATTGAGCAAAAAAGTAATTTTGAAATTATTCGACTTTCATTCAATAATTCACATTATTTTTAAGTACTTAATACATTTGAAGTACGTAAAAATATTAAAGGACATTTCGATGTTACATTATAAATTAAGTATGCATTAAATAGCTATAAAACATTGTTAAAAAATATTGAAATTCTGAACAGAATTCTTATAATTTGGAATATTATAAAATACTTTGGCACTTTAAATTTTAAATCATTCGAATAAGTTTGATGTAGACAATGCAAATGTTAATCCAGAATAAATAAGCGCAGCATATACATTTAATAAAAAAATTTGTGCAGTTGAAACATATATAATGATGCCGCATCTATACCTTACATTACATGGTATTCTAAAGCGAAAATTTGGCTTATAAATTCTCTCGGACTAATATAATTCGTGAAATATATATATATATATATATATATATATATATATATCAAATAATTTTATTATGAAATGATGATTAACAAAATGATAATTTTATTTACGTCGGCAAACATTTATACCGATCAATTAACCAATTCAATTTTATAATATATTTAATTATAATTTCATTAAATTTTTTACAATCTTTCGTATCATATATTTAATTTGCTTCTTATAAAATATTTGAAAAACGAGAATAAATTGAAAATCCAGAATATATTGAAAAAAGCAGAATTACAAATTGATATAATAATTATGATAACTGCGAGTCAATTAGTTTGCAATAAACGTATAAGTTTGTAAATAGAAAACTTGAATTATTGTTAAAATATGTAATTTCCAACAAAACTCATAAGTTTCGGACAATAGTGTAGTCGACAATGATAGTTTAATGTGTAATGTTGCAAAAGTCCAGAAAACAAAGATTCGATGCTATGCGGTTAGAAGTAATAAAAACTGGCAGAACATGAGGCGATATCGCAAAAAAAAATTTATACCTTTCAGTTTATATATATATATATATATATATATAACGTCTTTCATGGATTGTTCCAATTTTTAAAGAAGACTCGTAATTTACTTAATTTACTGTGAGATTGTATAAAAAATGGTTAATACTGTTTAATGCAGCGATAGAATATATATATATATATAATAGAAAAGAAAATATAATTTCTGTTTTCCAAAATTTGTATAGTAATTTTAATGATATTTCAGTACCTGTGAGAATGAAATACTTTAGAATCGCATGAGGAATTGGTGTCTTCACATTCGATTAAACTTGTCTCGGATTTATCAAAATTATTGTCGTCTTGTAAATCTTTAAGTTTCAGAATGCATCTCAATGGAACACCGATTGTAATTAAATCCGCGGGTAAATCTGGATTGCGGAAACCAGTAAGAAGAATGTAGAGATTTGGACCTATCGAATAAGTTGACAATTTTTGAATTATTTTATAGATTATTTTGTAGATTATAAGTATTTGAAGTGATTAATTTATTCGCAGTGTTAAATTAAATTAATATTTTAATTAATTAATATGTACGAGCTAAAACTATATTTTCCGGATTATATTATTTAAATAAATAAAAAAAAATAATAATAAATTTTTTTTATAATAGCTTCCTTATTAAATAACAATGAAGCAAATTAAGTAGGGTTTACATTTATGTATAAAATGTAAATATTATGTATTGTTTAAAATTTATAAATAACCCAATTGAATACATACATACATAAATTTCTATTAAATAGAAATTCATAAATTAACTATAATTTTCTTTGCTGTATGATAAATGAATAAGAATGAATTTGTGGAGGTGGATGAGTATCTACTTAATCATTGGTTAATCATCCAAGTTTTAAGTTCTATATATTTACAATTAATGAATATAATAAATTTTTTAAATATAATTTCCAATGATAGTAATCCAGATTTATTAAGTTGTTAATTTTGTATATTCTGACTAATACAAAATTCAATGGCTTAATGAATGTCCGTACAGAGAATTTAATAACAATAGGAACTTACAAATCTTCCAACATAAAATGCATTTGCACATTACGAACTTTGCAACATTATGCTGTGGTAATTATTTATTTTAGTGTCAAATTTTAATGGCATTATATATTTTTGTGAAGTAAAAGTTATCAAAATTCTTAATATTGACTGTATGTATATTATATTTTAGGTATGGATGCATCATTATTACATTTCATATAAATAGTTTATATATAAGAATTATTATTTATAACATAGATTTTAAAAATTAATAAGTTTAAATATTGTGATAAATAATTAATCAGTGGTTCAACGTTAATATAATAAGCATAAGCCTACGTTAAAAGCAATCGTGGCCTACGAAAATCATCGATCAATGTATGATGTCACAATATTCGTTGTAATATTTTTCGTAATCCCACGTGATATAAATTAACGAATAAAACGACTAATTAATAACGTAAAATTGTGCAAAAGAATTGAATAAGCAATGAGTAAAAATAGCTTTCGAATTCTGCTCATACGTCTGTATCCGCTTCCACTCGTTAAAATTTATTCTGTGAAAATACGGTTTCGGATTAACTAATGGCGTATGCAAAATTATAATATCAGAATATATATATATATATATATATATATATATAGAAGAACGACAAAATATGATCCCGTCAACTAGAAGTTCAATAAATCTAGACCTTGAAAATGCATTTAAAATTCAAATGTCAGAAGTTCTTATAGGTTCTTGGAAAAAACTTTCATAAAATTTATTACACTTTGCTTTACATTTACAAGTGACGCAAGAAAAGCAGGAAGTTTCTAAAAACCATACCTTTCTCAGCTCTCGATATAAAACAACTCTTAAATCAGTTATGTCAAAAGCTCACCTCGAGAAAAAAGAACCCACCGTCCTGAGGAGCATCGTCGATATAGATCTTATCCTTCCATTCTTCGTCGCGTCTTCTTAATCGTGAATTTGCTCGTGGCTCCGACGTACTTTTCCCTTCGAGCTTCGATGCTTCCCTTAACTCCTTCCGTGACATTTTTTCGCCCACGGCCTGTTGTTTCATGGCCAGGAATTCACGATCTCGCTCGGCCACAGCTTCAAATTCGATCGCAATCCTTGCTTCCTGCTGCATTCTCGCTTCATAAATCATCCACTTAATTACTTCAGCCTCAAAATAACGCGGCAGAGGATCATTCGTGTTGACTTGATTCTGCAGTACATCTCGAATGTATTGACGGATCTTCTCGGTTAAGGGAGAGACGGTGGCCGTCGATTGCCATTTAGTCGTCACTTTTTCATCTGAACGAAGCAAAAGATCCGCGTTACTTCGACTTTCAGTGCTTTACGATAGATAAGTGATTTGCTTAATCATTTAAATTAACTATAATACATAGAACATCGAACGAAATTTTATCTACGGCATTTAGGTTGAAAACAATGAAAATTCTATTTATAGTTATTTTTAATATGCTTGATGTTTTACAAGAATAACAACAACAGCAATTAGCTATATTTATTATCAAATAACTAGAAACTGTTATCAAATAAAATCGAAACTTTAAAAGATCATGTATATTTTGTTTCACAATTTTGTAATGATGTTGAAAACTTCTTATGTAATCGGATAAATTATTAATTTTAATAATTAAAGTTTCAACTTGTCAAAGTATCATATAAACACTATAATACAAAGATTACAAATAATTGTAATTTCACATTAAATAAAATTTTATTCTTACAACGTTAACAACATTATCTCGATAAAATGTAGAGAATAAGTGTCTAACCTGTATGCTTTGATGATACTCCAAAATTATCAAATATTTTCTCACGGTTTATACAACAAATTGCCTTTCTGCAACCCCTTTCACATGCTTCGTTTAATATTGTTGTATAGTTTATTTGATTTTTTCTTGATTCGACCAACATCGTTACAATGCATCGCCAGTCATCCTCATTAATCGGAATATCTTCGAGTAATTCGTGCAAGGACAAGTCGGTCGCTTTAGTTAGGTTTGTTTTTGAATTAAAATCCATTGGTTGATTTATGCTATTAAAAGTTTAAACGATTTTAATTACATAACCTTCTTAAAATCCATTAATCCAATAATAACTTTTGATTGATATAAATAACTTTTATATATAACAAATGACTGTTGTATGTGAGTTCATATTTTCAAGTATGACATTACAAAATAAAAAAATCTACTTAACCGTTTTCCATCTTTCCATAAAAATATATATATATTATATATAATATATATTATATTTTTAATATATTTCAAATTTATACAATTTAGATATTAATAAGAAAGCAGTATCAGTATAGAATTAGTATAATTAGTAAAGGCAAAAATATGTATTTTTTGCCATTGTACAATTATGTTTTGTTACAATTGATTAGTTGTGGAATGGAGAAATTATACTAAAAAATAATTGAATGCGAATATATAATTTCGATCCTTTTCTTACAATAACGGATAAATTGGAAAATTTTATAACATTACAAAGATATTTATATTTTATTCACTTTTTATTTAATCATATTAATATTTTATACAAATCATATTAATATCATCGTTGTCTTCGTTGTCGCCAAGATTATCATCATCATTATAATCATCCTTGCAATGGAGGCTGTAATAAACAACATCATCATCCTTATAATCGTCATGATCATCACCTTCATCATCATCATCATCAATAAGGACAACTGCATCGGTAACGACTAGCGCCCATTATCAACATCGTTATCAAATGTATGTGAAACGTGTATGGAATACAGATTTCGTGCTATCCTCATTCCATTAATTGCGCACTAATAATATTGTTCAAATTACATAACCAGCAGTTATTTGAAAACAGTCGGCGAATATCATTCGGGACATAAACAAAAAACAAAAATCAGTTCATATTTTAAACAACACTACTAGCTATTATAAAACATATATTATTATCATATACACAACATTTTCGTAGCCATCAATACATTTTTCGACATTTTCTTTGAGGAATTCGATATGATAACTCGCTGTTTTGCTCAAACATTCCTCTGCATTTCACTAATTTAATCCCTTAATAGAGATGAAATCGATTCACATGCTTGTTTCAACGCTAATATATAAACAGTGTTAATCGACACTAATACCTTTTCAATTAAAAATAGTTTATTTATTTAATTTAGATTTAATTTATTTTAAATGTTTATTTAATTTTGATATATTTATTAAAAGAAAAAAAAAACTTAATAATTTAGAAATGTATTATTTCCAAAAATATTGCATTGATATTAATTATATTCCTATATTTAAATAACTTTTAACTTTTTTTTTTCATTTGGATTCTTCCTTGACCAAGTACAATTATTTTATCTGAATCGAACAGCTGTTAATAATAAATCTTTGTTCCGGATCTTTTAATGCAACTCTTGTCGGAAAATTTCAATATAAGTCATTAGATTAAAATGAAACTAATGAACCATTTGATTCATTACCCGCAATATAAACAAAATATTTATACTAAATTTTTACCATAAAAAATGATTTTATGATAATGCACATAATAAATTGTTAAATTCTAATGCTCTTTATATTTATTATTTTATCCATTTATTATATATTTTGTGTAATGTTGTCCATTAGATATATCATAAATAATGTTTTTCATTAACTCTTGATTTCAGCTATGTAAATGTTTCTTTTGAATTAGCTTATTGTCCACAAGTGCGTTTTTCTTTCCTTCGTACAATTTTCGATAATGTAGGCAATATGTACTATCGATGTTTCCAAATCATATTTATTGTATTAAGGAATTATCGTATTATAAAAATAACCATTACTTGCTCAACGATCACAACGATCAGTTTGATAATTTATAATTATGAAACTTTAAATAAGACGTTAGACTTTATATAGGCAAATAAATAATTCATTATTCGTGAATTTTCAATATATATATATATAGCTATATTTTTTGTTTTGAAATATATTATAAATTATATTTTACTTAATAATTATATATGTAATGGAAATCCAAGCGGGTCCATCAGTGAAAGAGAAACAAATAAAACTAACTAATTGACATATTGAAGATCAAAATAAATTCAGGATATTACATAGATGACGAGTTTTGATATTTGCTGTTTTCGCGCGAAGCAACTTAATTTAAATTAACTATAGAAGAATGTACATGGCAATCGTTACTATATATCTGCTCGTATTAACTTTGCCCTTTAATTTTCTATTAGACGACTTTCGGGTGCGTGTATGTAATTATGTTAAGTTCTTCAATTTCAAATGAGTAAATTCATGAGATCAATAATTAAAAAATATATATAATACTTACTCGTGCTTACTAAATGTAGTAGATAAATTTTCGGCCAGTGAGAAGACGCTACTTGAAATTAACTTTCTTCATTTATCCGAGTTAGGAAGATTGTTGATGTCATTGCTCACAGACTTTCGAAGTTCCCAGTGACTTTCATAAATATAAATTTTCGTTATATAGATATAAAGAAAGGTAATAAGTAGCAAGTTTTGACTGCGTAAAATTTTTTGAATGTATAAATGGGAATATAAGTTTTGCGAAGTCAACAGAAAATATTATATCACAATTAAGTAAAAAGTTTATGCTAGAACATTTTACATTATATTATATGAATATATTTTATTTTATAAATACATTAATATTATTTTACAGATACTATAATAAAAATATTAATATTCATCTGCGTATGTGTTTCTATTCTTATTCGAATATTATATTCCCGTATATACATCCTCAACTATTTAATATTTTAACAACATTAACAGAAAATAATAGTTTCTATTGTTTTATTTAAATCTAATTAGTTCGATCATCTTTATTAGAAGCTTATCGAAATACATTTTTAGGTATTGTCAGTCATGCAATATATCAATAATATAATAGAGCACGACATTTTGCTATTGTAACTTGTATACATGAAATGCTTCATTTGATTTAAAAATCATATTCGTTTCTTCCTGGCTTCTTCCTATCAAAGCTGATTCAAAAAGTTAATATTCCATGTAAATCCTTCTAATTCGACATTTGTATTTTTAATCATCATTTGATTAATATTGTAATGTATTCGGTAGAAAATTTAATTATTAAAAAAAAAAAAACTTTATCACTGTTATTAATGATTTTATTTAATGTATAACTAATTTATAATAAAAATTATAAAATTTATTAATCGTAAATTTACATCAGTACAAAAAATGTATAATATCGGTTATTTTATAAATTGTACTCGTTAAATTTTATGCAAGCATTTGCTGAATTTTTCAAATTTCTAGAATTTTAAATTATTTTATTAATTTTAATTAAATAAATACGTGCACGTTAATTTATAGAGTACCTTGTTTTTTTTTTTTTTTCTTTTTTTTTAATTAATAATAAAATTGGTAAATATATTGATTTATTGAATTTAATAGTGCATTTGTCCTTGATTTATATATTCATCTCTTTATTTTCCCTATTTATTTTCGCATTATGATTGAAGAGCATTTTTATGTTTTCTTCTTCATCACAAATACTCTACTTTTATGGAAAGAGTAGTTATACATTATAGTGGGAAGAGATACAGCCAGTAAAAGTGAAAGGGAAATAAAGTGAAACAGATCAAGTAAAAGATAAATTGAGATTTCTTTTATAATAACTTTATAGAAACTTATTTTTAATGTTTGCTTATTCTTATACTGATAAAGAGATATTAAAATCTTATACATAATTTTTTTGATTGTCTGATTTAGAGTTAAGTAATTTCTAATGTGATAAGTTTATTTGTTTACTCTAATCAAATTAATCGCGTATACATTGAAATGCAAAACACAGGCAATCAGAATATAATAAAAGTAATCATTTACAAGATACGTCGATGTGGGTTCATCAGATTATATAAGAATGTCTGTACAAGCAGCATAGTCATGTAAATAAAAAAAGTATAAATAAAATTGTGTATAATCAAAACATTTTTTAACTTAGCCTTCAGTATTTTTTTCGTACAAGAATTCAGTTGAATCTATCTTTTAAAATTTCCCAAGAGAGGTTGTACTGAAGAGAATAAAATGGGATGAAATGTAACAAGAAAAAGAAGAGGCTGTAAAGAGAAATGAATGTAATATATATGTAGATGTCGTTTTAAAATAATCAAAAAAATATCTAAATTATAGTTAAAAAATATTTTTCTGATACGTAGAAAAAAATTATATTTTATAATAATGCTAGTAGTTTTTTTATAAGTTAAATACTATCTTTGTTAATAAAACAGACTATTCATTTATTCTTCAATAAAAATTTGTGTTAATATAATAAATATTTATACCTATTTAGCTTTTAATTTGTTGAAAATATCGAGGAATTGTTTTATTTGCGATTAATCAATGTTCTTTAATAATTATAATTTTTAATTTTTCATGATAAAATATGAAATTAAAATTATTCAAAATATTTTTGTCAAGCAATAACTGTTTCTATGTTTTTTGTTGTTGTAAATAACAATTATAGTTCAGCAAAGAATGATTCAATAACTTATAAATTTTTTGCTTTTAAATACAATACGGATAGGGATATATGATTATATAATGGTATTGGACCGCAGCATTTATTATTAGTTACTATCGAGAATTACCATATTTTAATTATATAGTAATTAGTGATTTTGATTTTAATTTTTATGGTACATTGACGATGTGTAAGCAAAAATTTTGTGTAAAGTACAGCCCCTCGTTTTTCGGCATTTCTGTTGCATGTGATGCCTCGTTACACTCCCCCGCCCATCTCCCCCTCCCGCCACCGATACTTGTACATAACTCTTTTGTCAAGAACTGAAAAAACCACTTTTCGCTGGCACCAAAAACATTGAGTCCAGAATCACGAACCTTTTGATCGGTTTCGACATCTTAAAT